AACGCATCAGATGGTCGAGCAATCATCACGCCAACATCCAACGCACGTGATGAAATTGCGGCAATTATCGACTCGAATGTCGGCCATCAAGCAATGATCACCACAAGTGTGACAATCCCGGATGAAGGGGGAAGCCGTGAACGTTCATAGGCATGCGGTAGCATGGCTGCTGCATCCTATAAATACCGCAGCCCCTTGTGCAACAACCACCCGTTTCTGCTCTTTTGTCTCTGATGATGGATTCGAGTAGGAATCCGAAACGTCAGGCTAATAAAGCTCTTGTCCCGGCGATCGTGTCTCCTTCTTCAAGAAAAAGTCAAAATTATGAAAGAGGTTGTCCACAGGGCCCTCATTTCTGAAAATCGTTCGACAACATCAATTCAACGGATATTACGGAGTAGGGCGGATGCAGCCTACAGAATATGTCCCCAGAGAGTAGGACAGTCACGAACAGCAGCCAGGTAGAACTTCTGGAAATACAAAAGCATAAGAAGGCGGCACGAAAGGCCACAGGCAAGAGTCGCCAGCATTTGAAAGGGATGCAGTCAGATTGGTCCAAGAAGCAGTCACTAACTCAAAGTGAAAACGCTAAAGACGTATCGACAAATGAAGAAAAACGATTACGACAGCCGAAACCCCCAGGTAGTGTGCACACCTTCAGAGCCTAATATTTTGAACGAATGTCATCCAGTACAAAGACATACAACGATGAATCCAGGGTGGTAGTACCTATTTATACGCATCCTCGTACTAACAGCGTTGAGGCCCACGTTGGCACAGCCTCATGCTCGGTTAGGTCAGCTACTCCTATGAACTCTCTGGACGGAGGCACCGCAGAAACCACAGACGGGGAAATGGGCTGACATCGCAGGCTTTTCCTTATTGCCAGCCCATACCGGCGAAACCGATATGACAGCCGACACTGTCCAATCGGCAGGAATGCCCGACAAGGGCCAGTACATCATAATCCAGGGTTTTCGGAGTCCTACGCCGACACCCCCAAGGAGCGAATAGCCGCAGACTTAGGGCAGTTTCAGGAGCCCCTCAACTAAATGCTGCAAGTGTCGAAAGAAATCACCATCCGGAAGGCCTTTCGCCTCAGAAGTCGTCAGAATGTCACTCAGCAGACACGATCATGCCTCCTAAAAATCGTCCTGGGCTGCAATTAAAAGGGCAAAGACATGCCTTGCAGGCGTTTTTGATTGAAGCATTGCAAGGAGGGTTTGTTTTTTTTCAGTCGGAATACTCTTCAGCAGAGAGAATGTAACGTCCCGAAGTAGTCCAGCAACCTCAAAGACCAGATAACAGAACGTCATTCTGATTCCCTCTGGATCAGGTCGGTACAAATGATTGCACAAATACTCCTGTAGACATTGTCAGAGTTGCGAATGGACCTCTCAGGAGCTCCAAACTCAAATTCATGTTACTAATGAGCAAAGTCTAATCTCCAAGGCTGACAAACTCCGTATCCATATATACGACCTCTCCGGACGTTGTCGCTAGTAAATAAACATGGTCGTCCGGACAAATCGACAACCGCGCGCTTATATTGCCTGTATTTCAACTGCTCCACAGAGACGGGGAATGCCAAAAGGATGGAGGTACAATTGTCTTTGTAAAGAATGACCCAAAGCTTCAGTCAAAACTTCTAACCTGAAGTGTAATACGGAAGCCGTGTGGTCGACCATAACTGCAACAGTTTCTCAAAACCTCGAAATCTTAACGGTGTATCGACGCCTGAGAAATGACCTCGAAGAGGACGATCAGCTTTTGGAAGAGCTCAAATTATTTGCTATTTAGCCGAATATCCTTATCATTGGGTACTTTATGTTCCTCATATCGACTGGAGCGTTGCAACTCATCAGGCGGGCGTTTACGATGTTTGACGAAGACAGCTTCTCCAAAATATTTGGAACATTCGTGCGGCCGCATTTGAAGTACGCTATACAGGCATGGCGACTTGGACCGTCAAGGACTGCACCGTCTTAGAGCAGGTCCAGTGGCGAATGACAAAAATGGTCAAAGGTTTGGGGCCACTAACCTACGAAACCCCGGCAGTTGACCCTTAACCTCTTCCCCCCCTTCTACAGGCAGGTACGAGGGGACCTCATTCAAACAGTCCGCATTATGCATGGTCTAGGTTGTTGCTTTATATCTGATGATTTTCTCATTCAAACTAACACACCCATTTTGCGCGGTCATCATTTAAAACTACGCCCAGGAAAAGCACAGACTGATATCCACAAATATTTCTACAGTACCAGAGTGGTTACAGCGTGGAACACCTTATTCACTCCTCATTTGTGGAATCATTCAAGGCCAAACTCGACACGCAGGTAGCACCTAACTCTTCTGCAACAATCACATGCCACAATTTAGATTTAATTTGCGTGCTATTATATTACTCGCAATTATTAAGTACGAATTATATTGTAGTTTAACACGCATCAGTCAGCTACCGGTCACATTCTTTAATGTAAACAGTTTCGTCTTCAATCTTTTTATGTGTCAATGTTACTTTCGATATTTTTGTAACCAATAGGGAGCTCAGAGTCGCTAGTCTATCTTTCCCTAAATAAAGCTGAACTGAGCTGAACGGGCTTTATTTAGAATGCGCACCCATCAGTACTACAGTGCGTGACCGATCTCATGAAATATTGGCTGAAATACTGAAATGCGTTTTCGACTAGGAAGGATTACTTGGTCGCAGTTGTAATACTGATCATCTTGCGGCATAATCTTATAACATTTCGGACTTGGCAGGATGTCGGCTTTTAAATGCACTTCCTTCCAATCTCCTGTCGAAAGCGTACTCGGTAAAAAATGACTGCTTAAATAGCATGCATTTTTCCCATTGATTATCGATGGCCCTACAAATCCAAATGTATCTTATAGAAACCGTAAACAATAATATGTTTTCTTTCAGCCAATTAATAGAGAATCACGTCTTCTTTACATTTTATACTCAAGGAAGGAGGGTAATTAGGTTTTAAAAAGTTTTATAATTGCCGATTAATTCGAAGCTTGATCATTCTTTGCATTAGCTTTTAATGATTTAAGTCTACAAAGCGCATGCGTTCCGCGTAAAAAAATAACATATTTTTCTATGCCATTAAAAAGATATCATACAGAGTCCATAAAATTTTGCAATGGATGCGGACTATGTTCTACATTTCATGAGGAGCTTTTGTTAACGGCGAGGTCCGATGCTATGTGAATGGACATTGCGCGGTCTTAAAAATTTCATAATTATAAACTTCTTTAAAACCTATTTATACTTCTTTCTTAGGTATAAAATATAAAGAGGGCGTGCTTCTCTATTAAGCAACTAAAAGAAAACATATTTTTCTTTATAGTTTCTATGAGATATATTTGAATTTGCAGGACCATCGAAAATCAATAGGAAAAATGTATGCTATTTAAGCAGTCGTTTTTTACCGAGTACGCTTTCGACAGGAGATTGGAAGGAAGTGCATTTAAAAGCCGACATCCTGCCAAGTCCGAAATGTTATAAGATTATGCCGCAAGATGATCAGTATTACAACTGCGACCAAGTAATCCTTCCTAGTCGAAAACGCATTTCAGAATTTCAGCCAACATTTCATGAGATCGGTCACGCCCTGTAGTACTGATGGGTGCGCATTCTAAATAAAGCCCGTCGGACCCCGATTCGGTCACGTATAAGTCCAGCTCATGCACCGCGTGATCTGTTCTAGGCGCACGCCTGACAACAAAAGAGTTCGTCTTAGACTATCAACGCTTCATATACACACTCAGAAAGGATCGAAAATGCCTTTTAAGTCATGTCATCTGTTTCCTCAAAGATGCAGTGGAAACTTCTCAACTCAAAAATTTTGTTCTGGGCAAAGGTGCGAATGCATTTGTTTCTTCTGCCACACTCTGGACCCGTTCTAGCCGATGCTGCCATCATTCTGCGTTAACTCCTGAGAAAACTCTGCTGGAGCAGTCAGATTGCTGTATCAGAATCGGTCGATCCCGTACACTGCAGTACTCAGGGCGTGTGGTTTCGTCCCCACTGAAAATAATTCCCGCTCTCTGAAAACAGGGCTCAGTTAGCAGAGAGTAACAGTAGCATGTCCGCCATCTCATACACGTAAATCAGAGCCGGTTATGTTAAACCCGTGCTTTTATGTTGCATTCAAAATCAACTAGGACCCGATCGACCTAGAAGATTTCCATCAAAAATCCCTTCTCGACCTGTGAAAGTAAGTATGAATTCCTTGCTGTTTAACTCATTTACGCCTTGAATGTGTAGTGAGCAGGTCGCGTGTAGCAATCCCAGACGGGCTGCTAACCACTACGCAAGATCAAAGCATAAGATGACTGACAGGCTAGAGCAGGTGCATGTGAGGGAGTGAGGGGAGAAAGTGAGGTCGACTCTGGGAATCCATCGCCGCACCCACTTAAGCACATTTCTCGCATTAAAATACCTCGCCCGTTGGAATCTATCCCGGCGTGGAAATAGTCGGGTATGTGGAAGACTGGCAACTGACGGGCTTACCCATCCCTCATGGCCATTTTGCTGTACGTGTGTGTGTGTGTGGGGTGACTGACTTGAGGACTGGGAGTCAGGCTCAATGGCTCCTTCTAACTGTAGCCTCTGTGACATTTGCATGCTCGTGAGATCTAAATTTGTTTCCGCCACCCTGCCGTAGATAAAGCATGTTCAGGACCTCCGTTATGTCACCATGAAATCACATTTTTGGCATGTGGTTCTCCTTTCTCCCTCAATCGTTTATTTCCTTCTTTACATGTAAAATACTGCTACAAGCGATGAAACAAAAAGCCAGCAATGATAGTGCAAGATGCGGGACAAACTGAGCTTAGTGTGGTGATTACTGTTTGAGATTAGGATGGCGGTATGCAAAAATGTCCTGGTGTATGAGGGACCGGGGCTGAGGTAATGGTTACGTTTTTCAACGAGGGTATTGTTCCGAGATTCTCACATGTCCCAGGAGGGATCGGAGTTGACGTATTGATTACAGTTTGGCGAATGCTGACATAGGCGATGGAGTTCTTTTCGGATGCCAAGTGTTCCTTTGGGTCCTTAGTGTCCCTATAAGGGCATACGAATCAGCTTAAGTTTAAAGCTTAGAGTCAAGAAGATGATGTTTTTCATTGAGAAACACGAATAGCTAATTTCAGCTGCCATTTCTATTAAACTGATTACAGCCGCAAGACTGTGCCGCTGCGGCGTCGTGGTTCCCTTTCGCGCATGACACCTGGTCGAAAATATTGGCTGGGTGACACCATAAAACCTCCCGTTGTTGAAGAGTCAACCTCACATGTTCGACAAGTGATTTGAATCAGTGAGGAGAACGAACACAAAACATTGTGATTTGGGCGATATCCTGAAAAATCTCCTGAAGCACACCTTGTACCTGAAATCGTATCCCGCAGTGAAAAAAGACCCCAAAGAAGGTGACTGCCTTCAAGAAACATCCTGCACACGAACCCAGAACGTCAGAATAAGGAGAAGTAGTTGCATGAAAACATTTGCGTCTGACTTCTCGGATGCACTCTGGACAGTGTCCATCGGTGATAGCTGCAGACATGTACCTAGTTAAAGCTAGATCACACAGACACACTAGAGTTCACACTGGTGCATTAAAAAAGATGCATTTCGTCTCACCAGATAGAGTAGTTACAGCTATCTCCTCGCTCCACGTTTCCTCCTCAGTCATGACACCTTCTTTCTCCAGCCTGACTACAGCCGCAACTTTTACTTCTACATCAGTTGCAGGCGGTAGGCCGCTAACGACACAGTTGTTTGTCAAAGGCTCCATTGTAATGTTCTTAGACTCATAGTCACCATCGTCTCCGGAATAGCAAAGGAAAATCCTGTAGTGATCTATTTTGCGGTCAGTGTTGTGCAATGGACGCCAACTGATCTGAATTGCATTTGAACTGATTGGTTCAGCCGTAACATTGAGAGGCGCGCTCAGGACTGAAGACAGAAAATAAAACGATTAGACCATAGTCAGCGGGCTTGACAACAAGTGGGCCACATGAACTGCTTAAATGAGAACATAGGCCTTGCAAAAAACCTCAGTCGAGGGCATTTCCATCGCACGCTGAAGTGTTTTTTTCGGCTGCATTTTTTATCTGCATAATACATAAAAAAACATTTTATGCAAACTTCTGTGGTTCTGCACTTTTGCAAATGTGGGCCTCCTGGCTGATTTATGTAGATACCTTATTCGGCCTCTGTGAAATCATGTATCAATTAAAATTATGTCAAATCGCAAGGTATGTGTATACCAGTTCCGTGTTAGGAATCCACCAGAAAACCAACAATGCACAACTTGGCGCTCCGTTTTAAACAACGGGGATCCGCTAGTGATCTGGCCTGAGCCGAGTGACAACTTTTGGGACGCTAACACACTCGGGAAGAATCAAGTAAAGATGCCGGACAATATGCGATCTCAGGACCTTAGTTTCAGCACTCCCAAATAATGCAACCAGGAATTAAGGCTGAAGAACCATCGGTGACACGTTTGCCGCGTCCGGAATGGCAGTCGGAGGCAGTTGACAATGCAGCTGCAATTATGAGCCGTGAATATCTGGCATTGAAGCAAACATTCATGCGTCCTACAGTGAAGGACAGGCCTTACAGAGGGCTTCTATCAACTGCGACAAATGCATATTGCAGCTGCTAATTTGGATTTTTTGTGAAAAAAAACACTTCGAACAGCCTCTCGATTCGCCTGATTTTGGGCTCGTTGAAGCCACTCGACACCTTTTTAACAAAATTCCGACGACAGAATTGGTATTATTATATGTACTGTCAATAGCGCATCCCTATGCTGAAGTTTATGCTTAAAGTGTCTTTGAAAGCATCTTGCACGCGTTAAAATTTATATTGACTACTGCAGTACCCTCCCCCAGTGTCTGACAAACATCTACTGTTAATATAACATTTAAATGAAATGGGATATTCACTCTTAATCACAACTTAACCGATAGATATCAACTGAGTACCTGTCAACATTCCCTATCACGATAAGCAGCTTATTTCTTTCAATTCATCCTGTATCGAGCGGGACATTTTATGAATTCAACCCAAATCCATAGTACTAATTTCCATGCACATTTTAAATGGTAATTTTTTACATATCCTCACGTCCTAAACAGTCGCAGAACGCGCGTACTAACTAATCAATATTTCTTTCATTTCTTATAGGTCAAGTTAGAAGAACTGCTGAATATGGGCGCGCAATCAATTCCCAGTGAATAATTCTGAAATATATCCATAGATGTCCGGCTGATATTTGTTAAATTATTAAGGAACGTGTAGTGTTCACCAGTGTATACTAACTTTAATGGATATCTACTCATGCTCGCGCTATCCATGCGCCTGTTAATAAACACAGGACAAAAATTGCCGTTAGTGTTTCTGAGTAAAGGAACGCGTGCAGTTGACCGCTCGATTTGCTACGCGTCTTCTTCCGTCTAAATGTCATGAAATACATTTTCCATAGCCGACCTAAAAAGGCAAACATGCACGAGTTTAATTTCACGGCTCCCGATAGAGCCTCGTAGCTTAAGTCACTAGAGGGTTGGCTGTGCTAAAGCCTTCCTCTTGCTGTCCTGGGCTCGAATCCCACCGAGACGCCAAACATATATCAGGTGGGTCAAAATGAATATTCATAATAGAGATGAAATAGTGTAAGTTTGCAAAATCAGGTAACAATGCACGTGACCCAAATAGGGTTACAAGTTGGGCTTTCCTTGAAATATTTTTTAGTAATAATCCTGCATCGCACCTCCAGTTCGTAGATGATTTGACGCAATTTTGATGTCAGTATAAATATTTTGGCCCCACGCATAATGGCAGGTGACCACGTTTGTTCTCAATACTGTCTAGCAATAAAGGCCTACTTTTCAAACACTGTTTCCGAGAACTAGCATTGTCCTATTCTCCAAATCATATACTGGTGAACTAACATGTATTGCAACATTTGCGAGAATTTAAATGTCGAGCTGGAGGGAGGTGATGATAAAGCAAATTTTCGATCTACGCAAATATGCAAACGCTGTCCGCAGAATTTTGCAGAACCAAACACCCACGCCCATTTTTCTGGCTCCAGATGGAATGGAATAATTGGCTTACGTTCGAATATCAACTACAATCTCCAGCGCTTCCAGCAGATCTGAACGTCGTCCAAACATTTTGCTTTTTACTTCTGGGAAACATGGCTGGATCTATACAGACGACTACATTAAATGAATGCACGCGCAAACTGCTTGGGGTGGTTCGCCATTCCGCAAGCCATCACACAGCTATCGCGCAGTATCCCTTAAAAAACTACCATAGACTGAATGCGCATTAGCCGTGGACTATACGCCAGGCTGATGCATATGACAACTATCGCTTCAGGCAGTACATACGTTTAAAGGGACATTTCTTGGGGATTCTCTACTCCTAATGATGCGAATATCACATCACACTCAACTAATCTCGAAAATGCAGAGGAACTTTAGAAATAAACACGTCCAGACTACTTGGAATACTAGTTTACGTGTCTATGGGTAAATTCCCGCGTCTATAACTGTGTGGACTTTAATGGACATTAACGCGGATCGTGGGTCTAAAAATATAGGTCCAGTTGAAATGAATATTTACTAAAGCTGGGAATGTCAATGTGCGACGCGGACTGTTCAACTTGGAGCCATCTGCCGAAAGAGGAGTCGAAAAGTTGTTGGCGTCAGGTTTTTAAAAAGCTCATGATGCTTACGGTATGGGAGACATGTTCGAACTCTCTGCGAGAAGTGACAGTGCCTGATGAAATGTAGAGAGCCATAACTGCTGATAGAAGCGAACAGGCGAGTCCCAGGTAGCAGTTCAGAAGATGAAGATGCGATCACTGGGACAACGGCGATTGTGAGAACTGTTAATTGCAGTGCGCATACGGTCCCACGGCAGCCACGTGCTATAAATACTGCATTCCTGGTGCCACCTTTACCTCTATCTGCGAATGTCTCTGATGATGGGCTCGAGTGAGAACCCGAAACGTCAGGCCAATAAACTTCTTGTCCCAGTGATCGCATCTTCATCTTCAGAGCCATAACTGTCAAAATAGACTTCAAGCTAGCATAAAAAGTGACATTTAAAAATCGACTGGATTTAAAAGTCTCCCCACCAAGTACTATACGGAGCATTACTTTAGTTTATATTTGAAACATCCAATGTAGGCGTGGCGACGCTGGCTGAAGAAAGACTTCAGGTTCTTCGGAAGGGTTCAAAGGGGAGGGGTAGGGCGACCAGTATCGTGTATTATCTCGAGAGTTTATCTTACAAATAAAGATTTGGTGGGCATCACCTCTTTCCTCTCGAGGACACACAGGTTCGAGGAGGCCTCACACGACCTAGCAAATTGTGAGAAGTCGAGACTATGCCCTGCTTTTCGATGATTTCTTCATATTGGCCACAAAAACAAACCTGCGTAAAAGGGCTCTCTTGGCCATCGGGAGTATAATCCCACCAGAATGTTCAAAGTTACCCGTTTCCACAACAGCTTCTCGGTGCCTAGAACGGATTACCTGCGGGAGTAATAGTGATGGACTCAAGGGAGACATTTACACGATAACTATATATCTACTTACTTGAGAATACCGCCCAAATAGACTACTGGTATTTCATATTTAACATTATCCTCCACAACTGAGGGTAGCCGAGTTTGCACTTCAAGTCTTTTATACACTGTAAATGCTACGCACAACAGTATCATGACATGTTCGTTTGAACTGGCATAGTATATCCGTTTCCTCTAAGCTATTCCAAGACATTTTCTACCACACCAATACACTCAACTAAATAAATAAATATGTCAAGTTACCAGCATATGTTTTCACCCGAAGTACTTCGCTCCACTTGCCAGCCATGTTTTTATTAGGCTGCATCCTCGACCGGGAGATGATACGGGCTCTCACTGTGATTTCGCTATCAGCAGGCAATTCACCAATTACATGGGTATATTCTCCTGGCGGAAACTGAAGACTGATATTAGATCTTGAGTCATTGGTTCCGGTAAATTGTAGATTTATAAAGTAGTTTAGTATGTCGGCATGAGGATCGAAGGGTGGATCCCAAGTGAGTCTGATGGCACTGGAATTGACAGCCTCAACGGCAAGGTTGTGTACTTCATAGGAGGCTGAATAAAAAAGGAATTATTATTGTCTGAGCGTTGGGAACCTCTCCGCAAAATAGAAACACCAATCAGTCATCGAAAATTACTAAACCTTGCGCATTTGATTTACAGTTGAAATTCGGTTTCTGAAATGCCACGGTTCAATCGGGAGAGCCATCATCACTGCGTGGGCTGACATAGAATAGAAGGAGTTGTAATTTCTCCCTCAAAACTTTGAAGAATAATTTCACAAAACAGTTGCTGAAAGGCAAGTACTGTCTAAAACGGATTTCCCTAAAAGGCGTGTTCTATCGGCACATCATGTTTCCTTGTACTTTTTGAACTGAACGCATTTACGTTGCCGTAGAGACTCGGAACGTTATTTGTCAAGACTTCTCAAATGGAAGATCCTCATTATCAGTTTGGGACATAGCTTGCGGCAACAGATGCATCTCGCATCATGACCCTTACGCGTATACCTACGTTCTTGCCAATTTCGACGTGTTCGCAGGCGAGTAGAGTTGAGTAATACTTCCTCTCTTGGAACGCTGATCGTTCCTATCGAATTCGACACCTGCAACGTCTACTCGCCCGCCATCATTTGGCAATTTGCAGACAAATCCCTCTGGTTGCTGCCGGCATCAGTGCATGGGATGCGCTCTCGAATGCGGTTGACAGCGGTTCTCATCCTAAACACGTTACTTACGTGCTGATTGCCTCCGCCCCATTTGAATGTACATCTGGTCTTAATAGCGGTTTCAATAAAAACTCTGTCTCCTTAAACCACTTAAGGTCCTTGGGAAGGTGCCGAGAGAAAGAGAGATTTTTTAGAGGCTAGACCTCCAGAAACATGCATTTGTTTCATTCGGGCGACGAGTATCGATCGGTTGAATGGTGTTATATCGCGTGAGATGGATGGAAACTAGGCTGCACCAGAGACGAATAGATATCAGCCTCTACCAAAGAAGTGGGTGCCTATGATATAGAAGGAGAGGTAAGTTTTTATCTGAGCGGACACCATGCGGCATAAATACGGACGGTGATGTAACCATTTCGACCAGGATTGTGGGCTAAATTTGAGTGTTGATATCTAACGTAGGCCAGTAGAAATCTTCGCCGGTTGGCCCATATCGTTCCACATGCATGCAGTTGTGTTGAGCACGGCTTAAAGTTGCGTTTTGCGAAATTTTTGTAGGATAAGAGAAAACGTGAATGGTAAATTTCGCACTCCATTTCTCCCCATCTCTAAAGACGAGTGATTGAATGCGATCTCGAACGGGCGAAAAGTTCAGTTCGTCATCCAGAAAAAATTCCTGAAACGCATAATGTGTTCACAGGTGTCAGATTAGCGCATAAATTCGGTGGGCAAACAATAATGCTTGAGAGAAAGAGAGAGTGTGTGTGCATAATTATATCTATGTCGGTGAGTAAAATCGTAAAGTTGAACCTGTCTCTAAGTTATCTCCACTAGTCTGGCGTTGTGCCAGACAGACACTGGTTCGGATGACTTCATACCAGAAAAGAGTCTTTCGGTCAGAAAGGCTCAAAAGCTCATTAGACGGAGCTGCATGCATGCCCTACATGCTTGTACATCCGAACATGTTTTTCCGCGCTTGCGTAGCAACCAGACGAGGGACGGAGATGCAAACTGAAGTGAGCCTGCTCGTCAGAATGCGTAAAACCCTCTAATTTACATGAATCCACTGAATAAAACGAACAGATTTACATCTCTTACGTCTCCGTTTGGAGTCAATGCGGGGTTTTCAAGCATGTTTTCGAGTAGCGAGTACCCACCTCTACCCAGAACGCGGTTAGTTCACCCTGCGATTACAGGGCGATTAGGAGGCACTGTGCGCTCAGCACATGTACTGATACGCAATTTCTTTTAACTGACACTCATACGTCGACAATCACGTTCCCTGGAGAAGTTAAAATAGAAGTTCCATCCCTCATTGACAAGTGTTCCGAAGCGAGTGAACTGCCTTCAAGAGACATGACGTCTACCAACCAGTAACTCGAGAATAAGGAGGATATATTGCATGAACCGGAAACAAATTCGCGTCCTACCTCTCGGATGCACTCTGGACGATGGCCATCAGTGACGGTTCCAGCCGTGGGTTGAGGACTCACGTCAGCAATTGCAAACACCAACGTCTTTTAAACTCAACGGACACTTTGTTGGCCCGAGCGAAAACCACCTAGTCGTGCGCATTAGAGTCCCAGACGTTCGCGACTTCATTACGGTCGGCTTGACGATCAACGCCGAGATCACGCAGTAATATGGGACACCGGCAGTGTCATTGCGACCACGACGCAACCGTTAGCGTCTCATGGGACAAATCACTCTGTACAGCAAAGTCATAGCGATGAAGATAGAGGAGGAGGAGTAGACCGCGTTTGCCTGAGACATTTGCAGTTGCCACACATCGCCCTAAAGGACTCAAACGCGTGAACACAGCCTATTCTGTGTGTCCGGCATACGTATTCACCCAGGTGGTAATTCCACGAGCATTCAATTATAAAACGATCTCACTAGAACAATCATTTAGCTCCATACATCACTTCATCCTAAGACAACCTTCAAAAATGTATAAACAGACGTGCAATTAATGAAAATGAAGTAAAATACACACTGTATTACGCGCCTGTGCATTAGGGACAATGCATATAGACCTACCAGTAAGGGTAGTAACGAAGATCATCCTAGTCCACATTCCCTCATCGGCAATACCGTCTTCATCCTCCAATCTGACTACAGCCGCAATTGTTACTAATATATCAGTTGCGGGCGGCAGGTCGTTAACGACAAAGTAGTTTCTCGAAGGCTCAATAATGATGTCCTTATTGTCGTGGCCAACACCGATTTCGTGATACCAAACAAAAAGCTTGTAGTGATCTATTTTTCGGTCAGTGTTATTCGGTGGACGCCAGCTGACATGAATTGCAGTTGAGTTGATAGCTTTGGCCGTAAAATTGAGTGGAGTGTTTGAAACTGAAGAAAATAAAAACGAAAAAACTAAACGACAAGTTAGCGACCAAAATCGTGCAGGATCTCGAGACTTTATCTTAAAAATACAGAATTAATGAGCTTCACCCCTTCCCTCTCCAGTACAGGCAGGTTCAAGGAGATCTCATACGGACCTAGCAAATTGTGAGCAGTCGGGACTATGCCCTACACGTCAATGATTTCTTCGCAATGGCCACAAAAAAAACCGGCGTGAGAGGCTCTCTCAGCCATCAAGGATTCTGGTCTAATCTGGATGTTCAAAGGCACTCGTTTCCGCAACACCTTCTCGGTGCCTAGAACGCATTTCCTGCAGGAATAATAATGACGGACTCAAAAGAGATATTTTTACAATAACTAGATGTCCATTTACTTGAGAAATACCATCCGAATGGACTGTGCATCCCTGTTACACAAAACCAGCGCTTTGCACTTGCCTATCGGTAATGTGGATTACTAGTATTTCGTATTTAACATTATCCTCCACAACTGAGCGTATCTGAGTTTGCACTTCAAGTCTTTTAACGTAATATTATGTGCACTGCAAATGTCCCCGACAAAAGGTGAATGTTTCATTCCTTTTTTCCGGGAAAACGATAACAAGTATTGATTTTTCAATCGAAAACAAATTAACTCAATCTTTTCGCACTGCGTGGCGTTCAGTGGAATGACTTTTGGTCCGCAGTGGAACAGTGTACGCAGATGTTACCAATAAAATGCCCCTCTTCCTTTAATTATTCTCCATTTGTTATAACTAATTCGCCCAAGATGAATAAGATTCTGCTCTTCGATTTTTCCTCAAATCAGAAAGTGCCTTAACACCGCCGCAAGGTCATTTTGCTCGCACGCGTGCATACAAATTGACCTATCTCACTAACAGACCCATTTTACGGATCCCCTACGTAAATACGCCGCATTTGCACCCAGAATCTGATGTCTACTCATTCCATCTACCAATCTGGACTTTGGTGGATACTTGTTCTCCAAACGAGTTGTCGGTGCCTGGGACAGACTCCCCGAGGAACTAATAATGGCGGACTCAACAGAGATATTTAAACAAAAGCTGTATGTATATTTACTTGAAAAATGCCGCCCGACTAAAGAATAAAGCTCTGTTGCACCAAAGCAGCACTTTGTACTTACCTATCGCTAATGTGGATTACTAGTATTTAATATTTAACATTATCCTCTACAACTGAGGGTGTCCGGTCGCGATCCCACACCAGAACTCTCTCTGAAATTACAATTCATCCGCCCGTTTCTTACGAACAAACTACACTGTACAGCCAATGTAGTGGCGTCAGAGAGGGAGAAGATGTGAACCACGTTCGCCTGCAACATTTGCGACCACCACGCGTTGCGATAATTTCAGCGTTAACGAAACAAATTCGTGAACACTGCCTGTACTGTAAACACGTCATATAAATTTACTTACGTCATATGTGTTCACTTACGTAGTCATTTCTTTGGCATTAAAATGCATAACGATCTCATTACTGCACTCAACAAGCTGGCTACACCACTTCAGCCTAAGATGACCTTGAGAATTGCATAAAGCAGACGTGCAAGTAGTTAAATCGAAGACAAATATACACGGTTATAGCACCGGTGCATTAAGCACGATGCATATGGACCTACAGGAAGGGGTAGTTACGGCGATCTTCTTACTCCACCTTCCCTTCTCGGCCATGCCGTCTTGATCATCCAACCTGACTACAGCCGCAATTTTTACTTCAACATCAGTTGCAGGTGGCAGGTAGTCAACGACACAGTTACTTGCCAATGGCTCCATTGTGATGTTCCTGGACTCGTAGTCACCATAATATGTGGAATACGAAAGAAAAATCCTGTAATGATCTATTTTGCGGTTAATGTTGTGCGGTGGACGCCAACTGATCTTAATTGCAGTTGAACTGATGGGTTTGGCCATAACAATGAGCGGGGCGTCTGGGACTGAAATGAAAAAACGGCAGCGATAAGGTTCAGGACCCACAGTTAACTTGAACTTTCCTTTGGACCGTGTTATACGTTGAATGGTTTTGGATTGAGTTTTATGCGTGGTTCAACACACAAGACGGAGAGCAAGTAGTCAGAGAAAAAATGATCATTTTTGCCGAAAATCTTATCGTAAGCTCCTACTGGGCAAAAAAGTGAGCACGATATGTAAAAAATAAACAAAAAATAATTTTCAAAAATCTCGGACTTTGAATGAAGCGTCACTTGTAACTTTACATATAGCCAGGAAGGAAGGAAATTGAATTTTAGGGTATATTTTTGTATTTGTCATTTATTTGTAGGTCATACAGCCGACCGTTACCAAAAGTGAAAAGAGCTAAACGACAGACGTGCAACAGGAATGTCCATTCTCACGTTATGCACACTGTCTTGGACAGCACGAACCTTGAATGCAGGGCCGGCCACTTGATTTGTCTTATGCAGTTAATGTAAATTGCTATTTTGTACGTTTTTGAATATTAATGTCCAGTCCTTAACAGTGACAGAACGCAATTTCTGCTCCATTAGTGTGCTTTTCGTATCCTCAGGTCCAAATTAACAGCACACATAATGGAAGCTGCGCTAAGCCTATCGGATTTCGATTCCGTCTACAGTAAAGGCAAATCCAATCACTTCTCTATAGTCGTATTTACATACATTTTTGCGACTGAAATTCGCAGAGGTTTGCTCGATCTTTTCTGAAGACTTAACAAACGTGTAACGTTCTCCAGTGTATGCTTACTTTAAGGGATGTATACTCATGCTCGCGCTATCCATTCGCTTGTTAATAAACACAGGACATAAAATTGCCGTTAGTGTTTCTGAGTAAAGGAACGCGTGCAGTTGACCGCTCAATTTGCTACGCGTCTTCTTCCGTCCAAATGTCATGAAATACATGTTCCAAAGCCGACCTTAAAAGCCAAACATGCACGAGTTTAATTTCACGACTCCCGATAGAGTCTCGTAGCTTAGGTGGCTAGATGATTGGCTGTGCTAAAGCCTTCCCCGTGCTGTCCAGGGTTCGAATACCATCGAGGCCCCGAACTTATACCAGGTGGGTCAAAATGACTATCCATAATCAATAACAACTGCATTTTCACGAGTCATGAAGTCTAGAGTATAGAGCGCGCATTCAAAAAACTGGAATCCCGGCTGTTAATTCTGGCGAAAATTCCCTAATTTGCATGAGCACCACTACAAATAATTGTGAGTCCCGTATCTCATGGCGCATTATATGAAACCTCAAAATCTTAATTCCAATAAAACTGGAATAACGTGATTTTGCAAAATCAAGTAACGAGGAACATGGACCAGATTGGGTGTCAGTATGTATAATGTGGCCCCACCCATAAAGGCAGACGACCAAGCTTGTATACATCACTGTCTGGCATTAAAAGCTTACATCTTTTAATTCCTCAAATCATATACTAGTGGATTCAAATGTATTGCAATATTTGCGAACTTTTAAATGTCGAACTGGAGAAAGATGATAATGAAGTAAATTTCGCTCAAAGCAACTACTCAACTATGAATTTTATTTGTACTGTTCCCTCTAAGCTATTCCAAGACATTTTCTACCACACCAATACACTCAACCAAATAAATAAATATGTCAAGTTACCAGCATATGTTTTCACCCGAAGTACTTCGCTCCATTTGCCAGCTATGTTCTCATTAGACTGCATCCTCGATCGGGAGATGATACGGGCTTTCACTGTGATTTCGCTATCAGCAGGCAATTCACCAATTACATGGGTATATTCTCCCGGCGGAAACTGAAGACTGACATTAGATCCCGTTCCGGTAAATTGTAGATTTATAAAGTAGTTTAGTATGTCGGCATGAGGATCGAAGGGTGGATCCCAAGTGAGTCTGATGGCACTGGAATTGACAGCCTCGACGGCCATGTTATGTACTTCATAGGAGGCTAAATAAAAAAAGGAATTATTATTGTCCGAGCGTTGGGAAATTTTTCGCAAGATAAAACCCCCAATCACTCATCAAAAGGTCCTAAACTTGCACAGTTCAAATTCGGCTTCCGAAATGTCGCGGGTCAATTGGCACGGCCGTCACCACCGCTTGGGCTGACAGAATAGAAAAAGTTCCACAAGCATACAATTGTGTTGATCACGGTTTAAAGTTGAGTTTTACAAAATTTTTGAAGCATGTTTTCGCGAAGCGGGTACTCACATCTACCCATAAAGTGGTTAACTCACCTTACGACTACCGGGATATCAGTTATTTTTTGTAGGTGAGTGGTTGCAAGTAAATTTTGACTTTTGGGAAGTAGTTGAACCCCTGTCATGGTTGCAGACTAGAACTAATATTAAGTACCCTGGACTCTTCTATAGTATAGCCGTTGTTTGCGGATCGTAAATTGATGCGAACGCTTTTCTATTATTCTAGAAAATAGGATTGCGCTCTTAAATGCATCAAATTAACTGAACCACTCCAGCCTAAGTTATTTCGCCTTCCCACATATGATTTACGAAGCAACCTCTGCGTTTTCTCTGAGTAAATCTATAGCATCGAAACACCAGCTGTTCTAATCAATATGGGCAGCCAACTAGGGTATTCGTAGGCTTGTACAGATATTTAACATTGTCGATTAATAATTTATCAATTTCTAGACCGTATGTGTTTTCTCCGACATATCAATAAAACCCATCTGTTTTAGAAAAAAGAGTAGAAATTGAAGGAATAATGGCTGATATGTATGTCAGAATGCAGTTACGCCATACTTGATTGTAAACATATTATTTTCTTTTGAAATGTTAAATTGTCCAAATAGCATGTCCATGGCTGAGTTCCCGCATTTGCCATTTGTGATATCTGATTGGTTATTTAAGTGGTTCAAAGTCGAAAGCCAACATAAACATTATGAAGGCGTTCCAGGAGAGATTACGTTTTCTGGAGAGGAATGCTCAATTTGCATGTAGCTGACACATGCGCTATAAACATTTGCTCATATCAAACATTTGGGAAGCTTTTAATTACTAAGATGCAGAAAGAGAGACCGACGTCCTTGTGAAATGCGATAATGTCTCACGAGTCGAAGGAAACACCTAATTTGGGCTTTCGCGTTGATTTCGCATCAAGCTGACAACTGGGCCACAACATGTTTGTCTTCCCTAAGGGAGATGATAACAGCCATTAGATCTTAAATGGGTCATCGTTCTGTCCAATCATGTTAACTAACTGAACTGAATGCTTTAGGATATCTGAAGGCGTCTGCTCACTGCATGGGTCCTAACAAGAAACGTTTAGGGTCGGTGATAGAGCGAGCCCTTAATTTATTTCAACATTTATCGAATAGTGCCAAAAAATAAAGAACGGCATGTATTAAACACAGCCGAATTAATAAAAAGGCATGTCCTCTCAATACGATAAAGTAAGCTGTAGTCTCAACGTGAACGTATTTCCTTTATTATGCAAATGCGAATTGCTATCTGTCAAACCTTCTCTATAAAAGATCTTCCATGATAGTCCTGAAAACGACTTAGCTTTAGATAAATGTTACTTAACCGATGCAAAGCGTATCAATGTTTTAAAAACAGATCATTTTGATTTTCGAGAGTATCGCGAAGGACTTATATGTGCCTACATAATCATGCCAATATATTTGGCGTTTAGATCTTTTAAATCAAGTCCGTTTATTTCCTATGTGCTTTTGAGAAGCAGTTAAAAATGTATGCTCTCACAATTGCTTGTAGTAACTGTCGCTTAACCAATAAAAATATATAAAGTTAAGAACAACAGACTTATTTGCCCACAAAAGCAAGTCGATTTAGTTGGAGCCTTTGAACAGTTGGAGGGCATTTATTTATCTTAAGACCCCTTGGGAGGCAACCAAATGAATTTTTGTCCAAATTACACTTTATCATAAGCTACTGGTTAGAAAGACATTTGAGAATTATAAATAACCTCCTGATGGAATTGCGTGCAGTCCTGAGTACTTTTCAGTCCTCCAGTTGTCATACACGGCAACAATCGCAGTTTTGTAGGTTCTGCCAAAAATCAAACCCCCTAGAACGCCAGTGCGTTTCGAAGAAATTACGTAGGTTGAGTAGTGCGAAGGTGATTCCCCCAATGTGTCTATCGCCTTCAGTTCAAACCAGAGTAGTCCATCTTTTGCGAAAATCCAATTTGTCCAATTGAAATGAAGACTATTGTTGTTTACAGGTACGACATCCACCGACAAGCGATTAAGCGGTTCTGTAAAATAAAATGAAAAATCGCAATAGTTTCCTTTAGGATGGGAGGGACGGGCAGCTTAGGAACAGAGTTAAGAGGTTTTGTTTACATGAACGCTAAAGAATGGCAAATAATCCATTAATACTTTGACTTGGAGCTCGGCGTTAGTTCAAATACTCCTACTCCTTGATAGTTGACGATGTGATGTCCAAGATGAGTTTGGCAGACGCATTTTGCTTGGTTAAAAGGCCTTTACGACGCATTGAGTTTATTGCCCATGACTAAGATTTGTGTACGCTCGTGAAAATTGTGTCCTCAGTGGAATATCAAACAGGCTATTATTTAGCTGAAAGAAGCTCGTTTTGGGGTTAGGCAAGCACGCCTGAATACAGGCAACTGGCATGAGAGCAAATAGATGTCGAGAGACATGGACGGATTTCTGTGTTAAACAGGGTACGTTACTTGCGTAGTTCCTAAAGCCTCGGCTGTCAACTTGAAGGAAGACGTGCCATTGAGAATCAAAATCTCATTACTGCCAGTTCTTCTTCTTCTTAAGTGAACACGTTTCTTGCATATTGGGTGTATTTACTCGGGCATTTACGTAAGCCCCACCTTTAGGTCGTACTTGCAAAGGACATAGTCGCTCTGCAGGAAAACATCCAACGCAGTTGTTAAGAAACGACAACGTCAGTGTTTTACCTCTCGGCAAGGTTTCTATTCAATCCGAAACTAAATTTGCAAAACCTGAGCTACTTCGCCCTCTGTGTAGCATTTATAAGACTAGAAGACGAAGGTGCGATCACTGGAACAAGAAATCAACTGGCCTGACGTTGTGGATTCTCACTCGAACCCATCATCAGAAGCCGTCACAGACCAGCATCACGCCTTCATATTTTATGTTCCCATGACGAGGCTGATAAACAGAGTGATAGTTGATAACTGGTTTGTTAAACACGTGCTAGGCAGTCTTCACTACTTTCGTACAATCCTGAAGATCAGCCTCAATTCAGTCAACAATAGGAGGGATGACTCCTGATTTTCTCTAACGTGAATTATTTCTGTAAACATAACATGCTCTAGGAGTTGGTCAAGCCGCCGGCTTTGAAACCGGGATGCAGCCTGAGTAAAAAATGCATGAAGTGTCTATCGCAATTATCCGGTACATTCTCAAGTAAACAATATATATTAAGGTAGGAATATACAGGGGCTTATCAGGAAACATCATTAAGAAGCAATTCCTGTGGGCTTAACTTCTTGTTTTTATACATAGATTCTTCAAATATCCTTTAGATATTAAATGTAGCAATACTGATTGGCAAAGACCTTTTAAACCACGTCCACTGCTCACAAAAGAAGGCAAAAACCGAAGATCTCAACATGCAGTAGCAGAGATGGCAAGTTCCCACTGCGGAGGTCAACCCAAAGGTATTTTACTGATATGAAGTAAATGGATGGGCTCCCCTCCACCGCGTCCACACGCACAAGTGGTCAAGACTGGCTCTTGCTAGCGCAACGAATAACTGCTGCTTCTTCACCGTTCGACTGCGCGCCTTACCGACATTTTCCTTCTCCTCGCCAACCCAACGGAATATATCCTCTTATGTCCGCGTTAAATGAACTGGTTGGCCTTGTAGTGCCCCCCCCCCAAACGAGCCACGTGGTAGATGCACTGGATCAACACGAGGGCCATATTGGACTCTGGCAGACGTTATCAGATTTGCGCATCATAACAAATGCCAACATTTCGGGGTGCGGTGGCAGACCCGGTTGCCGGCAGACGTCGCGCAAACTGGAACCCTGTCAACCCTCCCTCCCCTTGTTGTTGATCAAAAACCTGGTCATTTGTTGTGTGGACCAGGGGGTGTGGAAAGGAACGCCAAGGTGTGTGTAATCCACATGCGCCTTCCCCGTCTCCGGTCTTCTTGACTCTGTCTTGAAACCGGGTCCAGGTTGAGGAGGAGAGGGTGCGGTAGATGCTGTGCAAGTCTACTATCACTATAAACTAAATTTCTGCAAAGTCGCCCTTCCCGCTCCCACTCTACCGTGGAGCACACGGTAAACATTATCGAAATCGACGGTCAAACGATCAATTGGCCCTGTATCTTCAAGTAATGTTCGCGTATACTGTATTAGCCCTCTTATCTGTGACTGTGTCTGGTGATGGGTTTGAGTGAAGATTCGAGACGTCAGGCCAATAAATTTCCGTTCTAGTGATCGCATCATCGTTTTCTAAATCATCTTACGTTGAAGAAGTCCGTCTTATGTTATAATCCCAGAACAAGCTGACTACTTCGTGGTGTTAAAAATTAAGTGGTTGTCTGAGGTTGGATAGGAAGCTTGTAGTCGCAAAAATTTCATATAATAACATAAAGGGAGTCATGTTTAAAATGCCTTAACAAAGAGAAACAGGCCCTCTCTAAGAATGTGGTCAAATTACAGCGGAGAAAAGTTGTCAGTTAGGAGAGGAACACTGGAACTGTCATGTCTGACGCATTAAACCCCGAAACCCGTTAACATTTATCCCCCAGAGGCACCACATGGCTTTAAACATTGCTCAGCTAGTTATCCTGAAATCCGAGTTTGTGTTGTTACCCGTTTGTAAGGAGGAAACCGGATATAGCTATTCTATTCTTTGCCACGTAATTGATAAATGCCAATGGATTCTTGTTCACAATACTCCTAAATACATGACTTCACGCTTTAAGTGTTTGCAGCAAAAAAGAGGACAGATTAGCCTATAGCATCAAAGCAGCAAGCGCTTTGATTTCGTGGATGAATTTTGCTGCTTAAAAATACATATATTTTTGGATGTCTGACTGTAGCTTGCTTACATATTCAATAAAGTAGTGCAAACCTCTAATTTAAATACTGGCCATCTCAGTGCGCGGATTCTCGTGAGAATTCCATTTTAGGATTGTACGGTATGTAGACGGTACAACATTTTGTCCGTTGTGAATTCTGCTTTTTTCGAATAATCTGCATTGCCTTATATGTCTAATTATTAAATTTCATGCGAGGATAATGCCCATTTCGAGAACATGATGGCGAACCCCAGGAAACTACCGATTCTGTTCACTGTGCTTTTATAAGCGCAGAAAGGTTGGGCGTTTTTAAGGAGATTGTCATATGCACTGTTTTAAGATCATGACTTTTACCGGCAATTACATTGAATTCGATAAGTAAATAATGCTGTTGCCTAAAATAACGCGCGACCTGTCGTTTATCCTCATCATTTACAAACGAAGGCTGACTTCTCAATCATGTCAGTGTACCGAATGTATGAATAGCAATCGAATCACACGTACATAAACCTTTGCATTATGTGAAGAAGTGCTCAACTTACCGGCAAGCGTTTTTACGCGAATAGTTTCGCTCCATTGACCTGCGGGGTATTCCTCCTGCGATACAGTCAACTTCGTGTTCGACTGGATTTTGACGCTGATCTCGCGGTTAGCAGGCAACTGGTCAATGACATAGGCAGTCACCTCAGGTGAGATGTACCGCAGAGCCTCAAAATTGGAGCCATCTGTCCTCTCGTACTGAACACTTAGTTGGTACCATGCCAAGTATCCATCTGGTTGTAGCGGTGAGTCCCACATGAGACCGATGGAATGCGGGGTGGCAACATTTGTTCGAAAATTTCTCACTGCGCTAGAGGCTAAGAAATCATGTATTCATGATAATAAACATGCAATCGAATTGCGAACACAAGCTAATTACATTCTTATAAAGTAAGGAAGTTTGCATTTAGTTTAGATCAAAAAACCGTGGCAAAATTTTGCCGAGATTAGTGTTCGATTCAGCATCGGTTAGTTTCAATGGCACGTGAACCGTTCGCAATTTGAAGTATAAATGGGAAAGCTGACTGATCTGACAAATTGCTCTCAACTTGTGTACTTACTCCGCATTTTCTTATATGTGCTCAGAGATCTCCGTGTGTTTTGCAGAAAGAGATAACTGGAGGCCCGTATGAAATTCGCATTGAGGCATGTATATATTCCAATCGTTAAGGGTTCTAAGTTAACACATTACAGTAGACTCATGCTTCATTTAAAAGGATCACCAGATGGCCTGCACTTGTAGGCTAACAACAGTCTTTTGAGCAAAGCGAAAAACCACAAAAAACCAGCTATAAGTGCAAAGGAATTAAGAATATTATAGTTTGACTTTTAGTTAGTCAAACAGGCCTTCTGTCACCCTTTGTCTCATGCCACATTTTGTCAATAAACCTGATGATTCGTTCGTGGAGATTTGTAACCGAACGCTCTACTTTAGGCGATGGGCTATCACAAGTCGGATTATTGCGATATCTATCCACACGGGTCAAAATATTAGAAAGCCTTACGAGTTGATTTGGCAGTTGGCTGAATGGTTTTGTGGAACAGATACATTTCGCCCAAAAATTCACAAGTATCTTAGTTAAGTGATAGTCGCTCTTTCGTACGGCAACAATTCTGAATTTTATGTTGATTTTCATCTTGTTAGGATGACCAGACACTATAAAAAGACCACAATCTACACTGTTCAACCAGGGTTTTAGTCATTATCACTTGGTTCGCATAAATTTGACTGAAGCATATATTTGAAGGAAGAACGTACAGGGAGGTTTAGTAGAGTGTCTCCCGATGTACATTTCAGTGCTTCGGTTAGAGTACTCGACAACGAGCAAGGTGTCGTATGTCCTGCCAGGGAACAGACCACCAAGGAAGCCCTTGCGAACGGTAGGACTGAAGACGTTTTTGAAGGTCACCTCCCGTCCGTCTATTGTTGTGGCTGCTTTCAGTTCAATGCGCAACATTCCATCCACTTCAAACAGGGGTGGCAACCATTCAAACTGAAGGGTGGACTCATTGACTGTGACGACGTCCACTGTCCAATTCGAGTGTGTAGGATCTGGGTAGGAGGTTATTCGGGCGTGTAAAACGAGGATGCAAAAAATGTAACAATTTTCGTATAACAACTTAGAATTGAACATCAGAGTATACTTAAACGTATTTCGCGTACCTGCAAATGTTTTCAAATGAAGTACTTCACTCCAGCTTCCCTCTAGTGGATCTGCGTCCGCCATGTGTGATTTTGTTCTGGCTTTGACTTTTACGTAGATGTCGCAGTCAACGGGAAGGCCCGAAGCCTCATATGTAGTTCTCTTGGAGGAGATACGTTGATGCTTTGTCAGTATGCTTCTACTTTTATTGTATGTCAAACTGATCTGATATTCCCTCAGTTCTCCACCGGGTTGCAACGGCGGCGACCACGTCAGACTAATGGAATCCGAAGTTGAAACTTTCCCTCGGAGATCTCTTACTTTGCTGGGCGCTAAACGGAAAGTCTAGACTGTAAGGGCATATGAAGTATGCAATCTCTGCAAATAAAGGCAAATTATTTAGGTGAGGCCGAAAAGTGGAACTGGATTTGGATTTGCAAAATGACATAAACACTACGATCAAGTCATTATCAGCGACTAAAAAGGGCATCAAAAGACGTGGCGGATTCGTTTTAGTAACCGATTGTGTTTTGTCAAGGCTTCAGCTTTGGCAGTAATAAGTGGAGAGGGATTTCAATTTCCCACTCGGCAAAAGTGCCGATGTACAGTGAGTGGGCTAACTCATGAAATGTCAACCGAGATTCTGAAATACCCCTTCGTTTTGAAAAGATCAACTAAATAGGTTTGTAAAACTAATAAGCATGCAGCATAATTTTATAATAAATTAGTTACTTCAAGATGCCGGCTTTCGAAAAGACTCCTTTCCATTTGCATCCAAAAAAGACACTTCGTTAAAAATGACTACATATGTAGCAAGAGTTTTTCTCATTGAACTTCGATGTTCTTAAAATTCAATTATATTTCCTGGAGAACATGCACACGCATATCCATCCTTTTGCTCATTTGGTGGAAAATAACGTTTTCTTTCAATTTTATACTCGAAAGAAGGGTATAATTCGGTTTCAAAAAGTTTGTTATTGAGGGATTTTTTAATACCGTGAAATGGTCGTTCATAAATCGTCAGGTCTCTGCATTTACCAATGTGGCTTGCAAAGTCAACAATATGGCTCAAACCCACTGCTAAATTTTATGGTCCCCATATAGTCTTCTCTGAATACCCTAGAGATATGTATAGTTTTCCATACGCGGAAAAAATACGGCTTGTAGCTTGGAAATCCTGAATGCAAGTGTAACGGCAGGTTGGGTTCAAAACTATTTGGGGATTGGAAAAGTTTTTGAAAACCAAATTATGTCCTGTATTCGAGTATATAATTGGACGAAGACGCAATTTTCCACCAAATAAGCAAAAGAAGGAATATTTTTATGCATGTTTTGTATGAAATATAATTGAATTTTCAAGGGCATCAAAAATCAATAAGCAAAATGCATGCAACATAAGTAGTCATTTTTTACTGAGCACGATTTTTGCATTCGGCCGGAAAGAAGTTTGTTCGACAGCCGACATCCTGAGGTAACTGAATTATGTTGCATGATGATTACAATCCTACTTAATTAATCTTTTCGAAACGAAGACGCATTTCGGAATTTCCGTTGAATTTTCATGAGTTAGTCCACCTACTGTACATAAAAGTACCCTTTCAACATCCCCAATGTCACAATAAGCAGTAACTGTACGTCCGCGAAATAATTTGAACTGTCGATCTTATTCAACTCATGTAGAAGCCCTATCAGTTAAAATGTAGTAGGCTGTCTGTCGAGCTTGTGAGGCATCAATATTCTCCTACGCTTGTCTCGTCTGACAGACGTGAAATATCTTGTTCACAGTGACGCAGGATAAGTGCCGTACACTACGTGCACTGTTAATTAGGGACACACTGAAGATAATACTTAACACCAAATAGCAGTAAATATCCAATTTCTGTGAAATAAATGGGAAGTCTGGGACTCACAAAAACCCCAAAAGCATGTGAGTTACAAGGTCCAATTTAACTATCCTAAGCAACTATGACAGCGCTTGCTAGCAAGGACAGCATCTACTCCCATCAGGATAAAGAATTTGGTCCTGTGCGCGCAGATTAGCCTGTTGCACGCTCCGCGTCTACCATAACCAAAGATCGAGTAAGCGCATGCATGTTTTCGCCCCCGTTCTCCTTCTCCACCTCCCTCCCGTATGATACAGCACTACGTAACCCTCACTCGCACTTCCTACCTACACCCCCAACCTATTCACACACCATTCTTGTATGAAAAGACGAATCGTAATCCATTCCCCTTTTCGCTCACACGATTTACTTTGCATTTCATTCTGATAAGAGTGCACTGACCCGATAACAATTTGTCGCAAGCACGCGTATGCTCGCCAAATGGTCTTCTGCATTGTTATATGGGAATATTGGAAACTCCAGATTCAGATCTACTTGGCTTAGCGGGGCATGGTTGGAAAAAAACTTCAGTTGATAAATTAAATATGCACAAATATATGCATATATATATATATATATTAAAGACACTGCTTAGAATAAATACCGTGAGCTTTAGTTGAGTGACTCCCAGCGTACATCTCGGTGCTTTGATTAAGGTACACAGCAACGACAACCGTGTCGTACGTCCTGCCAGGAAGTAGACCTCCGTGGAAGCCCTTACGAGCAGTCGAGTCGACAGCCTCTTTTTGGTTCATTTTCTGTCCGTCTATTACTGCGCTTGATTTCAGTTCAATGCGCCGCAATCCCTCCGCTCCAGACAGGGACGGTGACCATTTAAACCCAAGTGTTGACTCATTAATGGGGAAGACATTGACTGTCCAATTCAAGCTCGCAGGGTCTGCAATAAAGTGTTATTCAGTTGAGCAGGATGAAGAACTATGGAATATAAATGTCCCTGTTGTATACTTGAGCAAGCTGACAATTCATTAATTACCGGCAAACGTCTTCACACGAAGCACTTCACTCCTTCTTCCTGTTGTGCTCTTTTCACCTGGAATGGACGACCTTTCTCTGGCCTGCACTCGTATTTCGATATCACAGGCATCCGGCAAATTTAGGACGGATATTTTAGTCATCAGGGGCGAGATTTGACTTGTGCGTGTGACGTTATGACCTCCCTTTTCGCCATACTGAATGCTCATAAGATAGTCATCAAGCACTCCACCGATTCGCAGGGGCGGATCCCATGCAACATTCAGGGAGTTAGAGGTTGCATGTGTGACTCGGAGATTTCTCACTTCATTAGGGACTAGGGAAAACATGATGCAGATTAGCTCAGACAATGTCAATACATAGAGACAACGACTTCAACATTAAACAAAATATGCATTATCTGTTGTGTTCTATAGTGACAAAAATAAATGACAACGACAGACCCATTTCAGCTGACTCGTGAATATAGACAAGCGGTTAGATTTTAAGTCGGCTAAACATCAATATTGTTTTCTGTCAGAATTTTCCAAGCAAATGTCTCAATGATACACTTTAAAAATAAAGTTGAATATTGGGTGAGACAACAACACATTTGGATTAACTATTCAGAAGTGAAACACAAAAATATGCTCAAGCAGTTGCTTCCACGCTGTCCATTATTACGCTTTTGGTTTCAGTCGCAAAAGTTATTAGCAGATAACTGATACAAGAGCACCTTTACTGTGCCATTCCGCAAGAGATGACCATGTGCATGCATGGTGCGTTGATTTGCTATGGCGCTGTCATAGGCAGTCGCTGACAGTTCGACCGTCGCATCTGACGATGTCCACCGTGCGCTCCACTGAAAGGTGAAGAAGGCACCGTGGCTTGCGCGGGTAAAACTGCGCTACATCTGCCGCCCTCTCTCTTCCCCCTTGCCCCTCCTGACCCCGGTTTCAAGACAGAGTCAAGAAAAGCAATGGCGGGAGAGGGGCAGGTGGATGGCGCGGCCGAACCTGCACCTTGGTGCTGTACTTCAAACCCCGTGGTTCACGCAACAAGTGACCGGGATTTTACTCAGCAACAATTGCTCGCGACGGGTCAGAAGAATGATGGCGACTGAGCGGCCATGGACAATCGACCAATTCTGCCACATACGAGTGAATTCGTGCATGCGTGACACAGCAATAGACATGTTGGCATTACTTACAGTAGCTGGACTAACTCATGAAATGTCAACCGAAATTCCGAAATACGTTTTCCTTTCGAAAAGATTAATTAGGTTGGGTTGTAAAACTAATCATCTTGCAATGTGATTCTATAATAATTCAGTTATCTCAGGATGTCGGCTTTCGAACGAACCTGCTTACAGCTGTATGTAAAAACGACACTTTGTAAAAAATGACTACTTATGCAGCATACATTTTTCTCATTGAATTTCGATGCCCCTAAAAATTAAACTATATTTCAAAGAAAACATGCACAACAATATTCATTGTTTTGCTCATTCGGTAGAAAATTACGTCTTCTTCCAATTTTATGCTCGAAGGGTGGGTATAATTCGGTCTTCAAAGAGTGCCTAATTGTGAGATTCTTAATACCGTGAAATAGCCGTCCATAAAACGTCATGTCTCTGCATTTACCAATGTGGCTTGCAAGGTTAACAATATATCTCAAATTTTATGAATTCCATATGGTCTCTTTTTCATACCTTAGAGAAATATATGGTCTTCCGTACGCGAAAAATATACGGCTTATGGTTTGGAAACCCTGAATGCAAGTGTGACGGCAGGTTGTGTTCAAAATTATTCGGGAATCGCAAAAGTTTTTGAAAACCGAATTTTACCCTTTCTTGGAGTATAAAATCGGAAGAAAACGTAATTGTCTACCGAACAAGCAAGAGAATAAATTTTTTATGCCTGTTTTCCATGAAATATAATTGAATTTTTTAAGGCCCTCCTGAAGTAAATGAATTATTATGGAATTATCCTGCATGATGATTTGTTTTACAACCCTACTTAATTAATCCTTTCGAAACGAAAATTCATTCCGGAATTTCGGTTGCTATTTCATGAGTTAGCCCACCTACTGTACGTAGTAGGTTGAAAATTCGCTGCGTCTCCCAATTTAGCCTGCATTTCGGGCGTTTGCGAACCTGTAAGCCTATTTATTTACGTTAAAATAGGACAATGATATGCTTAGCTGGAAAGGTAACCAAACACCTCAAATTTTATCAGGAGAGTGTGGGGGCATAGATGACGCACCAACCGGCTGCTTTTTCCTGGCAACATAGGATAGGTTGTGTAACTCACAGTTGAGTAAATAGTTTCACCTCCGGTTCATTTAATTTAAAAACTTTCCTTTTCACTGTGTTGTGCAAACCAAATCAAAATAAAAAAAACTTTTTTGGAAAAGATACCTTGCAGACAAAATAATTGTATACTCTAGAATAAAAAGACATGAATTACCCTGCGTCCGAGTTGACTGCGTACCAGCATCCACGAAAGAGCGCCGATCAGCGTACACAGCAGCAAAAACGATTTCGTAATTTCTACCGGGAAGCAGATCTCCAAGGTAGCCAACGCGTGCCGTGGAATTGATGTTTTTTGTATATTGCACATCCCACAAACCCCTTGTTGTGTATGCATTCAGTTCAAAGTGCTGCACCTCAACGCTTGCAGAGGTGAGATTCATCCAATCAAACCGCAGTGTGTTGTCATTGTCAAGTTCGACGCCCACTGACCAGAGGAATGGACTATCTGAAAGTGTAGATTGTGATGCTCATTTTATTGTTACTTTAACTAGCGTCTCATTGTAGATGGGGTTTTTGACAGTAACGAGGTACATTCATGAGGACGAAACAGTAGAAGGAGAGAATTAACTTGTCTGGAACCATTTCAATAGAATTAGACTAGCCGGCCTATAATGTGCTTGCCATTTGAACGAGTAACGCCGCCAGGGCTAGAATACACCCAGAAGCCAAGGCGGTTGCACTGACACCAGGTGACAGCAACAAACTCGAAACGGTAACTCCGCAGGCGGTGAGAGTTTCAAAAGCTAAAGTGATAAAGGACCTTCTAACGGACAAATTCGAGCTGGGTTTTGAACAACAACAACAACAACAAGGACGAAGGAGGTTATAAGGGTGACTGCTGAAACTGCAATCAAACTACTCGAACATGTTGTCCGCAGTGATTACGTGTGGTTGACTTATGCAAAATTTGATAAATCGCGCGGTTATTATCTATAAATGTATAATCATGTGGATCTACCAGAAAGCATACTCCTTCGCGATGGTTTCGCAGGAATTTACAACCGAAGAAAATGCGATGGTAGCGCAGCGGAACCCAACTGAGAGGCGCAGAAAACAGTGAAATGCCCGACAATGGCCAGTACATCATAATCCGCGATCTTTCGGAATCCCAGGCCTACACCCCCAACGAGTAAAGCACCGCAGACTTGAGGCAATTTTAGGAGGTCTTTAACGAAATGCTGTAACCTCTAGAAGACTACACTATCCTAAACGGCTTTCGGCCCCGAACTTCGTCAAAATGTCACTAGGCAGATACAATCGTGTCCCTTAAAATTGTTCTATGCAACAGTACACAGGCGAAACTAATCTTTACCAGACGTTTCCGACTTAAGCGTTCCAGGAAGTGTGTGTTTCTGCGGTCGGACTGCTCTCCAGCAGAGATAATGAAACGCCGCAACCTAGTCCTGCAATTGGGAACAAAGACAAATCAACGGAGGACAGAGGTTGGTTACCTACAAAGATCAGCTAATAGAACGCCAGTCTATCGCCCTCTGGATCAAGCCCGTCCGAATGATTGCACAGCTACTCTCGCAAACAGTGTCAAAGTTCCGAACGGACATCATAGGAGCTTCAAACTCAAATTTGTGTATACAAATGCATAAAGTGTTCTCTCTTAGACTGACAAATTCTGTATCTATATCTACGACTTCTCCGCTCACACTGTCCATATTACAGGAATGGATTAATGACTGGGCGCTTATATTAGATGGATTTCAACTTCAACGCAGAGACAGGGAATAAGGAAAGGCTAGGGGTATACTTACCTTTATAAATAATGATCCCAATGTTTCAGTCAAAACATCTAACCTAAAGTGTCAAACGGAGGCAGTGTGGTTGACCATAAGTGCAGCAGGTCCTCAAAACCTGAAAGTCTTGACGGTGTATCGACACCCGAGAAATGATCTAGGAGATGATTCTCATCTGTTGGAAGAGCTAAAGCTATTTGTCACTCAACCGAATATCTCCATCATTGAGGGATTTTATGGACCTTATAACGACTGGACCTCGGCTTAAGCAGGATGGTCTGTGCAAAGGCAGGGACAAAGTCATGCATTTTTCTCCCGCCCCTACATTTCTTCCAGTCTGTCCTTACTAATAGACCCAACTAACCCTCCCACTAAGGACGAGGACGAGGATGTGCCTACCATCGAGACAGTCCCTTTTACTGAAAAATATCCTTAGGACAGAGCTGCTAAATTTAGAAGAGTCCGCTTCACCAGATGCATATGCAACCCCAATTAAACTGCTGAAGGTGCTATCTTCAAAAATGGCCAGTCCGTTAGTCTTGCTCTTCCAGGCGTAATTTGTTTCTGGGTATCTACCGTCCGACTGAGAGTCCGTAATGATCGCTCCACTATCTGAGAATGGAAGTCGGGCATTGGAAAATAATTATAAACCGCTGAGTCTCACCTCCATCTGTTGCATAATCGTTGAGGAAATAATAAAGAAGACTTTAATGTATTCTCTTGA